GATTTTTGAAACAACACTTACAGCTGTGTGTTATATGTTGAAAAGGAGCATCTAAATATCACAGGTGGAATATTACACAATAATTATTTGACTGTTAGAAAATTATTTAAGCTGACTATCTAACATGACTGCAAATATATTTAGAAAAATCTGCCTAGTCAATAACAAAGTTTGAACCCAAGTGTATGTAATCAAATAGTGAAATTAGTTAATCTATGGAGTGACAGACAGCTTTTAGAAAAATTCTGCTTTAGAGATATGATAGAGTGAACTTTTACCCCAGGATTAGAATGCTGTGCAAGCATATAACTCAGCTTCCCTAACTCCAAACACTGAGAACTGTTTCTAGGGTATTTGCTGAGCTTATGCAAGACTCATTTAAATTCAAAGAGAAACACTAGAAAGATGAAATGAATCCCAGGTGCTCTTACACTCCAGAAATAGATGCTTTAAGACATGAACAAAGAGAATTAGTATTAGCAAGTGTACAGGAATCCTCTCTTCCCCTGGATTCATCTTACTTAAGGGCATGGTTTTATATATATTGCTGTGGTAGTTCTTTACTTCTAATTATATATAACATTCTATTCCAAACCTTTGAACAAATTTCTGAAAGAAACTTTGTTACAAAAGCTGATTGTTGGTGGATACTGCTGGCTTCCAAATGCCAAAAAGACCTGGGCAGCTAAAACTTGTCTGTCTTCTGAGGGCTAATAAAATAGTTAAAAATGCAGTCTCTTCCTTTCTCTTTCATTTTGAGTGATGGGAAAAATTTTTCCAGAGATCATGGAATAATTTCCCAAGAAACTATGGGAAATTACCCAGTGCTTCCCCAGTCTTCACTGGTTAAGGTTATTTATGAAATGAATACAACTACTCAGCTATGTGGGATGACTTGAAACTGTCTCCTGAAACTCTTAGAACTTAATACAACTCAGGAAGAAGAAGAATGCCTTAAGTAAAAGAAGGATGGGATCTTCTGATTTCCACTCAGCTGTGCTGTAATTGTTCTTCCCCTCTAATCTTCAGTCCTTTCTTTCTCCTCTTAACTTCAACCTTGAAAATTCTGAAATACTGGTTTTGTTTATGACCAGAAAATAATATCTTCTCATATGAGTTATTGTGAATTTCCCTGTTCTCTGGAAGAGTACTCACTAGATTTCCAGGTAATTTCTGTAACATCTTTTCTCCCACCTTGCATTTGGGAGCTGCCAAAAAGGAGCCTCTCGAAGAGGTATAACAAAGCTGTTTTCTGCCAGGAATAAAAAAAATCTTTTAAAGTGGCCTTACTGTGTCTCATGCTACCTGCTGTACAGGACTGATCTGCTGTAGCAACACAGGTGCAACAATATTCTATATTTCAATAAGGAGAGTGCAAGAGATTGCTCAAAAATTCATTGTTCCAAAACCCAAAAGAGAAAAACAAAAAGATCTGCAATAACTGAAAGGAACAACATGGAACTTGGCTGTCAGAATGCCTGAGGCAGAAAGAAAGGCTTGGTATTACAGATAAAATATACACTATATAAAAATAAGCAGGTGAAAATGATATTGTAACAAACTGCAGAAACAAAGAAAGTACCAGAGCATACCTAGTAAAGAACCTCAGCTGCAAATCTGGATTTTTCCAGCCATAAATGAGTGTATGGGGAAAAGAACAGACTCTAACTTAAATACAGGAAGAATATGGGATATATTTAAAACTGGATGGAAATACAAATAGATGAAAAAATGATCCCAGTTTCCATGAAGAATTTGTGAGATAAATCACAAAGTGCTTCTTACCAATTTCCTTATTAGGACCTGCCTAAGAATTTAATAAATATTTTACTGGAAAAGATAAGAAATGGATAACACAACTTCATTAAGAATTCCTTTCTCATAAGAGGAAAACCCCCTTAAAGGGGGGAAACCCTTAAGGAAAGTCTTTTATTTATTAGAGGGAGACTGTGTGGACAAAAGTCATCTTTTTAAAAGTTTCCTATCCATAATCATATATGGGAAAATGCAATTCTGTGAAAAGTTGGAATGATACATAAAAAAAAAAAAACCCTTTTGTTTTCTCAGAAATAACATTTTCCCAGCAGAAGGATGGGAAGGGCAGGAGCCATCAGGGAGCCTTGCTAGGTCCTGGAAATGCAGCAGGAGTCTCCTGAGGGCCCTTCCCAAATGTGTCCCTGGAAATCCACACCAATCTCACCATGGCTAAAGACCCACATTGCCAGAGTGCTGCAATTTACTGCAGCACCAGCATTTCACAGGCACAAAAACAGCCTTAGAAGGGCAACCCAGGAAGAGAAATCCATAGTGTTTTGCAAATATACAGATTTTGAGCCCCCAAGGCGTTGTGCACCTCGGAGTCTCCATTTTTAGCTGCCACTCATTTTCTCAAGAAAGGTTTTCCTTCACAGAAGTGCACACTCCAAAAAAACCCCAAGCTATAACAATCATGTCACTGGTCCTACTGTTTACCATTATCTCCAAGGTTTTAGGGTTGATTTACATCACATTCCTCCCTATTTGACTTTAATTGTCTGCTTCAAGTTGTCAGGACATAACTATATCTTAGATTTGCATTGCATTAGGGGGATCTTCTCCTTTCTCTATTGATCTTGTCTCGCGGAGTAATTTAACTCCATTCTAATTTTCCTGTGCACGCGGGGTGCTCTCCATCCAAGGCAGTGAGTTATGTGTATTCAAGTGGTGCATCTTATGAATCTTGTTAAGCTTTAGCGCCTTGCAGCCCGCACTGATGGAATATTTAATCACAGAAATGAGTTGGCAGATTTGATGTACAATACGGGGAAGCCTCGCGGCCGCGGCGCCGCCGGCAACTGAGGAACGGGGGAATTTGCCATTCATCAGTGCCATCCTGACAGCTTTGTATAACCTTCTGTTTTTCACTTATTTATGAAGATTAAAGGTACTTTAAATCAACAGTTTCTCTGTAGATGTATCATCTTTATTTCAGAAGTGGCCAAATTTTTCATCATTTATTAGGAGCTAAAGGAACTTCTTGCGCTGACTGAGAAAAAGTTGGTGCCGTTTTGTCATGACAGTGCTGGAGACAATAAGTAAACTAAACAAGTAGAACTCTGACTGTTTAAAAACCACATCTCTAATTTTATAATTATCAAAAATTCAATTGCTTCTTCTCTAAGAAAGGTGGTGGAGGGAACCCAAAAGTAAAGATAAGTCACGGTGTTCTATTCTGAAATACAAGAACTGCAGTGCTGTTTTACTGTTTCATTTCCTAACAACTATAAGAGATCTGCACAATTTAACTAATTTTTTAAAGAAATTTGTTACATTTGAATGTGAGAGATAGAGTATTTCAGTCAATATACATAAAATGTATTTGACATGCATTGAAAAACCCAGCAAAACCCAAAAACCCAACAAAACAAGCCTGCCCACATGTATAAAGAGAAAAAAAATTTCTGAAATAAATGAAGTATCTTGATGGAACTTTCTGCAAAGGTGTGGTGGAGTTCGTGTCATAATTCATAAAATTAAATTAATACTCTTCTAATGGTAATTAAAGATTCTCATTAAGAAGGGCAAACACCTCCCTAGTGCTGGCAATAAAAATGCACTTGGGACTTTAGGAGGTTATACAAAAAAATCAATAACCTGCCATTTTATAATTAAAAGACAAAATAAATGTTAGGGAAAAGTCCAGTAAATTAGGAAAATTACCTTCAGGAGAGATTGAAAATATTGATTTTAATTTACAAACTATGTGAACTCTTCATGCCCTACTTCATGAGACAATTATAAGTCAGATTGTTAATTCTGCATACGTATTAGAAAATTGATTACTGTACTATGGGAATATTATTATATTTGTCATTAACACAAAGTCATTTATATAAAATGACTAATAACTCTGACTTTCTAATTTATGCAGGTTCAGGGCTGGTTCACTAACTACTCAAACGAGATCAATGTTAAATTCCTGTTTTCAACATAGACATACATCAGCAAGGAAATAAATTCTGCCTGCACCAAATACTGCAATTCCATGAAGGCAAAGTTAGGTTTTTTTATTATTATACTCTGACACTTTTACCCTAATTGGAAGATTTTTTTCTATCTCAATAGAAGCTGGTTTTTAACCACAAACATATATTTGCAATAGTGTCCTTTTCAACAATTTTCATCTTCTGAAGTCCCTTAAATTGACAAAAGTTTTTCAGCTTTGTCAACTGGAGACTCAAATATCTCCATGAGTGGAGATTCCCTAGCTTCTGCAGACATGACAACCTCTTCCCATGCTGAACTACCAGCAACGAAAAATGCTTTCCTGATGGCTGTTTGTGGGTAGCATTCAAATTCCTTTGGAATCAACTGGGTTTTGGACTACAAATAAGTTTATTTTCAATTCTGTTCCTAAATTATATGTAAAAAACAACTGCTAGCCATGACTGACTTCCAGCAGGCAAAA